TCCATCAAATCTATAAATCAACCATTTGCCCTTGCATGGAATACTGCTGACATATATGATCTGGAACCCTCGCTGTTCGTCTTAAGGACCTCAACAGGATCCAGAGACAGATATGCAATGTGATTGGCCTTGATCTGGCATCTCGTTTGCAGTAGTTCTCTCACAGACGTGCCATCGCTTCCCTCTGTCTTTTCTACAAATATTTCACGGTAACTGCTCCGACGAGCTACTTTCGCTAGTTCCCAAACTGCATGAATTTAAACGTGCCACTCTGTTGGCATCTCAGTCCCACCCTTTCACTGTCGAAACGAATAAATGCAGCCGTCTCTTCTACACCAATAGCTTCATGTCTCGCATTTCCCGTCTGTGGAACTCCCTTCTTCTTACTTGCTCCCCTGATAGCTATAATCTTCAATTATTCAAATGCAATGTCAACGGACATCTCCAGATGCCTTGATCTATTCCCCGTCCTTCACTTCAAACTTTGCCTTTTCATTCCTCTTTACTCTTGTTCTCACTCTCTTTAACCTCTTGCGTGCTATGCGCTCCCCGTCTTGCTTAGGGAGTTAAATGCTTATATATATATATATATATATATATATATATATATATATATATATATATATATATATGTACAGATCCGTGGATAAATAATCCAAGTAGATCCTAATAATATAAAATATTAAAACTCATTCACAAAAAGAGAGCTTGATTATATTTATTACAGAGCATATACAATTCATTTTTAACAAACGTTTTAGCATTAACAAACCTCAGGGAGGTTATTCCCGGGTGGGGGAAAATGGTCTTGAAAATCGGGTACAATTGAATTTCATTTTTATGTAATTCATATATATATATATATATATATATATATATATATACATATAAAAAGATAATAAAAATAATGGAAGCACTTAGAAAAGAAAAAGTCAGCACTCAATAACATCAAATATTGACACGGGCATAAACCAAAGTAATGGTCAATAGCACAAACAGTAACACCTGTGTCAACATTACCATGAATGGGAATTCACTGGAGGAAGTATCTAGTTTTAAATACTTAGGAGCAATCTTGTCTAAAGATGGCACCTGCAACTCGGAAATCCGCAAAAGTATTGTTACTGCCATGGCCAAATTGGCAAGAATATGGAGGAGGAAGATCAGCTTTCAAACAAAGTACAGACTGTACAAATCGCTGGTAGTCTACATACTGCTATATGGATGTGAAACGTGGACACTATTGACAGATACAAAGAGAACTGTCCAAGCGTTTGAGAACAAATGCAGGAAAAAACTCCTTGGCTATTGCGAACCAATAAGTTTGTGAAGAAAAAGGTTAATGTCCTTTTCCGCACAAACTCATTGTTTTGTGGCTCACCAGGAACCTCTTCTCGCAACTGTGAAACGGCGAAAAATGTCGTGGTTTGGACACATTAAATGGCACGACTGCCTGTGCAAGACCATCATGCAAGGCATCGTTGAAGGTGGACGTAGGAGAGGACGCTAACGCAAAAACAAGTTGGACAATGTCAAACAATGGATAGGTATGACTGTACCAGAATTGGTGATGGCTACCATAGATAGACTGTTGTGGAAAAGAGTTAGCGTGGCTTCTGCATACGGATCCGCCCTGCGATTACAAAAAAGTCAAAGGGATGATGATGATGATGATATATATATATATATATATATATATATATATATATATATATCATGATGATGATATATGATGATATATATATATATATATATATATATATATATATATTTAGGTTGGTGCAAAATAATGACGTGATAATGTCGTTTTTAACGTTAAAAATACGTCAAAAAACGACATTATTACGTCATTTTTTTGCACCAACCTAATATATATATATATATCATGATGATGATATATACATATATGATGATGATATATATATATATATATATATATATATATATATATATATATATATATATATGATGATGATGATATATATATATATATATATATATATATATATATATTTTTTGGATTCATAACTGATGTCCGAATTCAGGATTATATCATCTGTCTATAGGTATTTAACTATTTACACTATTTACATTGTTCGGACTATTGTCCTCCTCCTAATTGTCATATTCACGACGTTTCGGTTGTTGTACACTCCGGCCTTCTTCAGGATCCGTCTATATTTCCGAGATGAGTTAGTGTAGATATTTACACTATTTACATTGTTCAGACTGTTGTCCTCATCTTTATTGTAACATTCACGACGTTTTGGTTGTTGTACACTCCGCGCGCTTGGTTGTCTTGAAGAAAAAAAAAAAAAAAAAAAAAAAAAAAAAAAAAGAGAAAAAAGCACTTATCAAGGTGAATTAACTGATAGTAAGACATCCAAAGGCATGGTACGTGGAGTAAATAAAGGGCTCGGTTCGAAATTCGAACAAATATTACCTGAAGAAGGCCGGAGCGTACAACGGCCGAAATGTCGTGAATGTGACAATAAAGATGAGGACAACAGTTCAAACAATTTAAATAGTGTAAAAAAAAAAGATTACATCTATTGATTTTCAAAGTAGCTCATTCTTGGGAATGACGCTACACAATTTCATGTCCGAACAAAACAGTATTTGTAATAAGAGAGCGAATCACTAAACCCGAACCTGGGACATATTTATTGCCTAAATATTGATCTGAAATTTTCCTCGTATAATGTTGGATATATGTGGTTAATATGCACCAATTAGGCTTCGTATTTATTTTCGTACCTACGTATATTTGATAGCCACGTGCTATATAATAATATTAATAATAATACTATTCAAAAGAAAACTATCAAAATACAAAGATCTTGAAGTAGAAATCTCAGAAATGTGGGACATTAATAATTTCAGTTGTAGTTGGATCCCTCGGATTGGTTGGAAAAGGTTCCGATAGACTTATCGAATGGGATTCCTGGTAGCTCATGCCTTAAAGAATACAAAAAAAATGTACTTATAAGTGCACATGATACATTAAAAAGAGCTTTATCTATGTAAAATGTGTGTGATCTTAGTTTTTTTTTCAATTAATAATCAGGATCATTTCTGACCTTAGATCTCTGGTTGGTATCCGGAAGGAAATGTTAATACAATAGAAATTAAATGAAATAATAATAATAATAATAATAATAATAATAATAATAATAATAATAATCATCATTTTGGGCTAATGTCAGAAATATGGCACATGAGGACATCAACAATTCCAGTTGTAATTGGAGCCCACGGATTGAATGGAAAAGGTTCCGATAGATTCATTGAAGGGATTCCTGGTAGCCTATGCCTTAAAGAAATACAAAGAATTGTACTCACAACTACAGCTCAAACATTACGAAGAGCTTTATCGATGTAAAATGTGTTTGATCTCGTTTTTTTTGTTTTTTTTTTCTCAAAAAATGCTCATTGGAAAATGTCATGAGGCCATTTCTGACCATAGGTCTCTGGTTGGGAACTGGAAAGAAATGTGTATATACCAGAAATCAAATGAAATAATAATAATAATAATAATAATAATAATAATAATAATAACAAAGAGCTTTATCCGTGGAAACTCAGTACGAAGATCTTCATCTATGTAAAATGTGTGTGATGATTTGATAGTTTTTTTTTTTTTACAAAAATGATCAGTGGAAAATGTCATAAAGCCATTCCTGACCTTAGGTCTCGGTTGGGACCCGGAAGGAAATATGTATAGGAAATACAAATAAATAATAATAATAATAATATCAACAACAACAACAACAAAGATTTATCTCGAAAAAAATAAAATAAAATTAAAAACAAACAAGTAAACCGGGGTGTATTTCTGGAGGATAACGCTTTTAAAACAAACAATCATTGTAAGGAAGGTTTTCGTTGTTTTTGTTAAATAATCTCTACGGGGTATTTAATGCCAAAAATCTAAATATTTTAGTGATACAAGTTTTACTAATTAACTAGTCCTGGGTATAACGATAAACTTCATCCGGCAGCAAGGCCTCATCGGGAGATTGGAGGTTTTGAGGAGCGTGGAACCACATTTTAATTGCTGATTTTCCCAGGTCCACCCTGGCCCGGGGTGACAGCACTTGTTAGGATTCTACCTATGGGCAAACAGTGAACCCCAAACAAAAACAAAACACTATGAAAGTAATAAAATACATTTTTTTTATAGTAAAAATACCAGCAATACATTTTTATATAAACAATTACGAACAACAGATATTTATTGTAAAATGACCAACAATACATTTTTAAAGGAAAATGACTAGCGATACATTTTATCCTAGAATTACCAACAATAGATTTTATAGCAAAATGACCAGCAAAACATTTTTAAAGAAAAATGACTAGAGATACATTTTATCCTAGAATTACCAAAAATAGATTTTATAGCAAAATGACCAGCAAAACATTTTACCTGCAGTTGGAGGCATACAATTGCGTTCAGTGTATATTTGGTTGAAGGCATAAAATTGTGTTCAAAATATTTAGATTTCGGCATTAAGTAACCCATAGAGATGTTGATATGCCGCTAAACAAAATCAACAAAACAACTAACATGGAAGCACTCTTAATCCATATAATATCTTACAACTTGAAGAAATCAAACTGCATTCCAAAATATAACTTCAACAAAACTACAACATAAAATACACATATTACCATCCACAAAAAATATATATGCACAAAAGCCGAGTATCATCTACCATGCACTCAATCGTGAAAGCAAAATAACGTATATTATATTTTTATTGTTTCAAAGCTCCCAAGAAAATTAAATTTCGGCATTAAATGACCCATAAGGCGTTGATATGCCGTTAAACAAACAATAAATCAATCTTACTAATTAACCCATAGATGGGGGAGAAGAGGTGGATTCATACCTTTCCCTATTTGAATACAACGAACCCAAATGGAATTGGAACTTGGCTCTCCGATTAACAATTCCGTGCCATTATCCATTACACTATCTGTAAGCCCAAGCTTAAAGCACCTGGTATTCCCAAGCGGTCACCCATCTAGGTAGAGACCAGGCTCAAGGTTGCTTAACTTCGGTGATCATACAGTAACCGGTATTTCAGCGTGATGTGGCCCTCAGCTGATTATGCAATCTGCACATCCAGCCTTACAGCACCTGGTATACCCGAGCGGTCATTCACCTAGGTACTGACTAGGCTCGACGTTGCTTAACTTCAGTGATCGTACGAAAACCAGTGTTTGAACGTGACGCTAAAATTCTTCAGCTTTTTAACAAGAAAAATCTGAAGGTGGCGTTAAAAATGGCCGAAAAACATTGTTGATTTATTTTAAGATGGAATGATCTAAAATGACATGTCTCTAATTTGTATTTAGATACAATGTATTTATTTTCAATTTTTCTAGTTGAATTGTTCACCTATATTGCCTATGATCCATTATTGTATATAATTAGGTTAAAATAAAATTTGTATTTTATATGAAGACAAACTTATGAAAATTGAGATGTAGGAGAGAGGGGGGAGACCGTATCATAGATTTGGGAGTGAGGAATGAGACTTTTACACCGGCCGTGGTAGTGGCAGTGGTCAGGCACCTAATATTGATGTTGATGTTGAAGTCAGTGGTAGTTGTAGTGTAAAAACAATTATGATAATGATCGTAATGCCGATCATAAGAAAAAAACTCTATATAAAATTCACTATTTTTATCTATTAAGCTGAATGTGTTAAAATTCTTCAAATTTTAATAAGAAAAATTTAAAGTTGATGTTAAAAATTGTCACAAAACATCGTTGATTTATTTAAGATGGAATAATCTATTATGACATGTCTCTAATTTGTAATTAGATACGTTGAATTTATTAAAAATTTTTCTGATTGTTCACCTATATTGCATATGATACATAGTTGTACATAATTAGGTTACAATAAAATTTGTATATTATATGAATATTACCATGAGAAAAATTGAGAAAAATGTAGTAGAGTCGGGGCAGGTGTATCATAGACTAGCAGTAGAGCCCGGCGTTGCCCGGGGATGTAACAGTAAGAGATAGATCAAGTATCGACCATCATAAAGACTGAAAAATAAAATTGATAAAGATTATTATTTAAGGTTGACGGACACGCATGTCTTAATTATTTTTTATTCGTTATGTGTCTATCGATTGAATAGAATTTTATTATAAACAATTGTCTTGTAAATGGAATTTTTAAAGCATTCTGAATGTAAAAATAAAGAAAAAAGTGTGCAAGACAATAAGAAACACTACCTGCGAAAGTGAAGCTTTGTTGAAATCGGTTGAAAAATGTAGGAAATCCGATCCCATATATAAATGAACACACACACACACACACACACACACACACAACCTGGGTTTTTATAATAAGTATAACTCGATATGAGTTGTTCCCCTTTCATTCTCGCGACAGCGATGCGTCTTAATCGTGTTTTCAAATTGATTTCGTGTAAAAACAATTGTGTTTTTCCGATTTTTGTGCTGTCAGATCTATCGCAAGGTAATTTTACGTAGTCCTGTGAAGTTTTGTTGAAATCGGTTGAAAAATGTAGGAAATCCGATCCAATATATAAACGAACAGACACACACACACAACCTGGGTTTTATAATAAGTATGATTCAGAGTCGCGCACGAGGCCCTTTCACTGGCCCTGATCTAACTTTTTGCGAAAAAAAAATTCATCTAAGTCCCAAGAAGAAGTCCAAACAAGAAATAGATTTATTCAAACCTTGTCCTGTGAGGCGAGCTCCGTGGCTGAACTGGTAGAGGCATAATTTGGCTAAAAAAAAAAAAAAAAGTAGTTTCCCAGCTGGAAGAATGGGAGGTAAGTTTAAATTCAGTCGGAGGTACAAATCATTATCATAGCAGCCAGAGTGACCTATCTCCTTGTATAATGGAAATGCTGAAATTAGCAGTTTCCATGTTGGTGATATTCGGCGTTCATTGACTGAACAATTAGCTTTATTTTCGGTTGAAATTTATAAAATCTTTTTTTTTTAAAGCAGATTTTTTTTTTTGGAAATGAGACTTCTTAAATCCATTGATAAAGTCCTTGAGAGAACATTATTTCGTTTAAACAATAGCTGACAGCTGAATTCGTCTTAAAATCAAGATGTACTTAATGGCGGCCATCTTGAAAAATATCGACACGCTAGAAGCAGAAGGAAAAATTGCGAGAGAATGTTATATAGAACAAAAACAAGAAATGGGATGAAAACAGATAAACCGGAAACATTATCCACACAAAAAATAAATAAGAAAAAGCAATACTGATTGAAAGTATTAATTACAATCAACCAAAACCGTTATCAACGTAAAATAGTTTCTCTATAAATTAATATATGAATTACACCATTATCATCGTTCTTGATACATGGCAGCCATTTTCACATTGATTGCACTCAATCGATATCTAACTAAACGATGCCAAATTTGATTATTATTCAAGTCAATTTGTTTGGCAATAAATCTGGTACTAACCAAGCGATTTTAGTACAATTTTCAGTGTATATCCATAATGGCAGGCCGTTCGCTTCCACGCATATCAGTATACCCAGGTTGCTAGCTAATCCCTGTTGCGGGCGCCTACTACATTCCAACTATGTTTCTTCAACAACCACAGTGTCTACCTGTATTTTGTACTGCAACTATGCTGAGCTGACATTAATTATCATTTCTAGGAGAGCGCGAATATTCTAGCGTTATCAGTGTTTGGGCAAGGCCCTTACGATCAAACTCCTGGTTACGATGTGTGACTTCGCGCTATGACAACTATCGACGGCTTCCACTACCCAGATTAAATTACAAGGTTTAGTTCAACCTTTGGTATAGGATTTAAGGTACTTTAGAACGGTACTGCATGATAGGATCATCTCCCCCATGTTTGTTATTATCAAGAACATACTCCCTTAACTAATCGACCATGGCGAGATTTGATTCCGAGTGTCATGGTCGGTTAAGTTAAATTTCTAGCCATCGGGTCACGCATCCAATACATTTATATGATATATATACCCTGTAAATTTCAGCTAATCTGTCTTTACTAGAATCATGGGCATTGACTGATTTGGTAATGTGATATTTTATCAGGTAACTCATTGTTTACAATTTAAATATAGATATATACAGGGTGTTCCCCCAAACATACCCACACTTATAATAACAATAAATGCAGCGTTTATTGACTTGTAAACAAGATTAATGATTAAAATTAAGAAATATTCATGTTTATTTTTATTGTTTTATCATTTCACGCCAAGCAAGGCAATAAAGCCACTAAGACACAAAGGAGGGGGTTACTGAGTGTTAGAGAATATGAAAAAACTAGTATAAAGGAAAAAGGACAATAAAAGAAGAAGGATTAGGAATATAGAAGATAGCGATTGGCTTTGCATTTGCATTTGAACATCAGAATGTGCCTTATTATTGACTGCAGACTGTAATGGTTTTTTTTTTGAAGATCATCAAAAATCTATCAAAATACAAGGATCTTGAAGTGAAAGTCTAAAAAATATGGCACATGAAGACATCTGTAATTTCATTTGTAACTGAAGCCGTTGAAGAGATCCCTGCTAGCCCAAGTCTTAAAGAAATACAAAAATTGTACTCACAAGTACATTTTGCACTTTACAATCTGTTTAAAATGTGTGTGATGTTAGAGTTTTGTTTTTGGGAGTGGAAAAAGCCATAATGACATTTCTGACCTTAGGTCTCTGGTTAGAACACGGAAGGAAATGAGTAGACAACAGAAATCAAATGAAATAATAATAAAAATAATAATATAGAGGCACTGGCTGCCGGAAATAGGGCGCGAGGGTGACCTCATCTTCGCTTCAAGGACTTCTGCAAAAGGCACATAAGGGCGATGGACATAGGCGTCAAGAAGTTGGAGGACGTTGCCAACGATCGCTCCCGCTGGAGGCACGATTTACACCGAGGGGAGGAGCGAGGAGAGGGGAAAGCAGGGAGAAGCATGCCCGACGGAAATAAACCAACAAGGCGACATTGGGGGGGGATAACGTCTTTTTCCGTGTTTAACATGTGTAAAGGCATATCACCTCTCGTTAATAATGGTGAGGTCATGGCTGTTAGCAAAAGGGACAACCCAAAATGCAAATTTACAAATCGGAGACATCAAAATTAAATCAAGCACAGAAAGTTAAATATCTGGGAAGTGTTTTAACAGAGGATGGAAAATGCGACACTGAAATCGGAATACGCATTGGGATAGCCAAAGATGCCTTCCAAAAGCTAAGCAAAGTATTAAGAAACAGAAAGATTTTCTCAGCGACAAAAAAAAAAAAAAAAAAAGAAAGAAAAAGAATACTGAATTGTTACGTGATATCTGTCCTCCTATATGGCAGTAGATTCTGGACAATTTCCTCAAAGATGAAGAAGAGATTTGAAGCAACAGAAATGTAGTTGTAGAGAAGGATGCTGAGGATACCATAGACCGAACATTTGAGCAAGGATGTAAAAATGGAAACAAAAAGGAAACTAATACTTAACATCAGCAAGAGAGAGAGTTAAAGTTTCTGAAATACGTAATGAGGAAGGAGGGCTTGGAAAATCTGATACTCACAGGACAGATTGTGGGAAAGAGGGACATAGGAAAACAAGGCATAACATGCGTAATGTGCCTGAGTAAATGAATGGCGGGATGTTTAGGAAAAGTAACAAAAAGACAAAATTAATTAAAAGCTAAAAAGGACAGGAAATTGTGGAGAGCCATGATCCGGAGGGGACGCGCCACATAAAGAAGAAACGTCCGAACCGAATATTGTTAAATACGTGTGAGACGTTTCGACAAAACCCCCAGATTGACTTGGATTCCGTTTTTCCTTAGCTTGGAAATTATATTTACAACGCTTCAGCCAAATTTGTCCAGTCAACCCGAAAAGTCAGATTCCAGTTAAAGAAAAAGAGATAAATAAATTAACTTGGTGTATAGATTAAAAGCGCTTTAATATGTTTTTCAGTTTGATCCTTCTGGTCGTATTGTAAAGGTCTTTTTGTCCCTATGGCTTTTAGCAAAGACGCTATAGCAGAAAAGAAATATCAAGGTCTGTGCCAGAGACTCTCCACGCCCCCAAAATACATTATCAGCAGAAGTCTGTATTTCTAAACTCTGCTATGCTCCCAGGAGAGCATTTACAATGAAACGCACCTTTTCATAATGTTTATTAATTTATAATTCCCAATACCGGCCTGTGCGATTCGTCTGTTTAGCTTGGCGTTCTGGCTTCGACCGGTAGTTGCAACATAAACACATTTTTAAGGATGGACGCTCGTTCAAACCAGATGGATGAATTCACGTTGTTTTGGTTTGGATTCGTAAAAAGCCTTTCGCTTTTGATTTCTTTCTCTTTTTCTTTCTTTTTTCGTTCCTTTTTAACTATCAGTTTCTCTCTCTCTTTGTTTTTTTTTTCGTTTTTATTATTATTATTATTATTATTATTAGAATCCTGGAACAGGACCAATCCTGGAACAGAACCAAGATTGAAATTTGGCAAAAAAGTAACGGGTATATTGTTGTACGTATATATGTGCATATTGGCGTATAACGTTATTAGTATAAAGTAATCGGGTATATTGTTGTATCGTCTATATCTATGTCTATCTATCTCGGTTTGGTCTTAAACCAATGATTCATAATCGTTATTATCTATATCTATCTATCTATCTATCTATCTATCTATCTATCTATCTATCTATTTCATATCTATCTATCTATCTATCTATCTATCTATCTATCTATCTATCTCGTTTGGTCTTAAACCAATGATTCATCTATCTATCTATCTATCTATCTATCTATCTATCTCATTTGGTTTTAAACCAATGATTCATATCTATCTATCTATCTATCTATCTATCTATCTATCTATCTATCTATCTCGGTTTGGTTTTAAACCAATGATTCATATCTATCTATCTATCTATCTATCTATCTATCTATCTATCTATCTATCTATCTATCTATCTATCTATCTCGGTTTGGTTTTAAAACCAATGATTCATATCTATCTATCTATCTATCTATCTATCTATCTATCTATCTATCTTGGTTTATCTTAAACCATATCTATCTATCTATCATATCTATCTATCTATATCTATCTATCTATCTATCTATCTATCTATCTATCTATCTCGGTTTGGTTTGGTGATTTATATCTATCTATCTATCTATGATCTATCTATCTATCTATATTTGGTTTTAAACTGATCTATCTATCTATCTATCTATCTATCTATCTATCTATCTATCTATCTATCTATCTATCTCGGTTTGGTCTTAAACCAATGATTCATATCTATCTATCTATCTATCTATCTATCTATCTATCTATCTATCTATCTATCTATCTATCTAGGTTTGGTTTTAAATGATTCATATCTATCTATCCTATCTATCTATCTATCTATCTATCTATCTATCTATGATCTATCTTTTGGTCTTAAAACAATGATTCATATCTATCTATCTATCTATCTATCTATCTATCTATCTATCTATCTATCTAGGTTTGGTTTTAAACCAATGATTCATATCTATTCATCTATCTATCTATCTATCTATCTATCTATCTATCTTGGTTTGGTCTTAAACCAATGATTCATAATCTATCTATCTATCTATCTATCTATCTATCTATCTATCTATCTATCTTTAGAATGATTCATTCTATCTATCTATCTATCTATATCTATCTTCTATCATATCATCTATCTATCTCGGTTTGGTTTTAAACCAATATTCATATCTATCTATCATCTATCTATCTATCTATCATCTATTCTATCTATCTATATACATAGATAGATAGATAGAGAGATATAAAAGATTTTAGATTTTATACAGATAGAGTTATATATATATATATATTTATATATATATGGAGAAGAGAGAGCAATGTCTTTTCGATAATTTTCATCATCATCATAAAACATATGTTCATAAACATGTTACATATTCGTAAACAACAGGAAATATTAAGATTTTATGGCCGTCTCGAGGGTGTGCTATGGTTAACGAGCAAGATTAGTTAACCATTAGTAGTGATTTCGACCCTCACTGGGTACCCCATACTTTCAGTCTTTTACCAAACTAAGCTAAACTTAGAAAATAATAAAGAAAAATATTTCGATTTTATGGGCATTTCGATATCGGGGTTATAGTTAACGAGCTAGATTAGTTTACCATTAGTAATAAGATCAATCTTCCCTGGGTGCCCCACCCTTTCAGTCCTCTGCCAAAATAAGCTAGACTTAGAAACTTAGAAAACATCGAAAATATTCCAATTTTATGGGCATCTTGAGGTGGGATAATGGTTAACAAGCTAAATTAGTTGATCATTAGTAATGAGATCGATTCTTACTGGGAGCCACGTGGGCACCTCGGCGTGGTGTAATGGTTAGCATGCTTGTCTCGCTAGATTATTTACGACTGAGTATTGATTTCGATCCTCACTAGGTGCTCCACACTTTCGGCCTTGTGCCACATCTAAGTTACGCTTAGATAATAACGAGGGCACCTCGAGGTGGTGTAATGGTTAACAAGCTTGTCTCGCTAGAACAATTACGATCCTCACTGGGTGTCCCATACTTTCGGCCTTGTGCCACATCTGAGCTACGCTTGGAAAATCACTACTGGGTGCCCCGTACTTTTAGTTTTGTGCAAAACTACGCTAAACTTCGAAAACAACAAATTTTCTGTGCGTCTCTAGGTGGGACAAAGATTAGTAGTGAGTTCGATACTCATTGGGTGCCTCATGTGGCCTAGTGCCAAAGTAAGCTGGGCTTAGGAAATTCCAACATTTATCAAAGTTCATTAAGTTACTTTGAAAAAAAGACAGGAAATCCATAATATAGTCGACTGAAATGCCCTTTAAGGAAAACCGTCGTAATAGCAAAATTGCATTGATCATTAATTGGCTAATCAACTTCCATGAAAAAAGCTCTTTTTAATTAATATCAAATATAAAACCTAATTAAGTAACACCTGTTGCGCAAGACGTGCATTAATTTCCTCCTGCAGACTTAGACGAACCTGTATTGCCATAAATAAGGAAGTCGTGATAAAGCTACAGGAAGTTTGTTTTATTTTTCAAAGGTTTTCACTTTACATTTTGAACAAGAGATGAAGGAAAATAACATAAATCCGATGTGTTTTCGTAGAAATAGAATTGATAAAGGACAGTAAACAACCCAACATGCAAATTACGAGTACAACGATTCAAAAAGTGGGGAAAGAAAAAATCTTACCAGTGTATCAGCTGTAAAAATCACAGATATTACCTTTTTAAGCGAATCGCTCCAAGCAAACAAGAGGTTACAGAGAATGAGAGTAAGAGTAAAGAGGAGTGTTTGAGAAAAGGATAAAGAGAAAAACAGGGATCAAAGGTCAAGGCATCAGAAGATGTCGATTGACATTACATTTGATTATAGCTATCAGGGAAGCAAGTGATAGGAAGGGGGTTCCACTGATGTGAGGTGCGAGATAAGAAGCTGTTGGTGTAGAAGAGATGGCTACATTTATTCGTTTCAACAGTGAAAGGGTGAGACCGATATGCCAACCTAGTAGCACGCTTAAATTCATGCAGTTTGGGAACCGGTGAAAGTAGCACGTCAAAGCAGTTGCCATGAAAGTACTTGTAGAAAAGACAGAGGGAAGCTACGGCACGTCTGTGAGATAGCGACTGCAGATGGGGTGCCAGATCAGGACCAATCACATTGCATATCCGTCTCTGGATTTTGTCGAGGGCCTCGAGATAAACAGCGGGAGCACCAGACCATATATGACAGCAGTATTCCATGCAAGGACGAATGGTTGATCTGTAGATCTGAAGGATGGACTCAGCCGAGAAAAAAACCTTGCGCGACACAGAGAACCAACTTTCCTTGCGGTAGATGTAGCTATAGATTCAATATAGTTGTTCCACTTCAGGTCAGTGGACAGCGTGAGACCAAGCAGGCGCAGAGAGGTTCTGTCGTGGAGTTGAGAGCAAACCATGGGATAACACGCTCAATTCAATAGGAAACAATTGACGCATACATAAATTTAGCAAAGTTTTATTACGAGAGTTAGAAAACCTTCCGAATGTTTTAGATAATAAGAATTGCACTCTTTTTTTTGGCGGTTAACATGTGTAAAAGCATAGCTACGCACTTTAATAATGGCGAGCACATTGTTATTGGTAAAGGGGAGAGCCCAAAATGCAAATGACAAATTGAAGGCACCAAAATCAAACAAGCAGAAGAATTTAAATAACTGGGAAGTGTTTTAACAGAGGACGAAAAGTGCAATACGGAAATCCGAATGAACATTGCGATAGTGAAAGATGCCTTCCAAAAGCTAAGCAAAGTATTAAGAAACAGATTTAAAAAAAAAAAAAAACCCAAAGATATCTGTCCTATATAAATTATGGACAATCTCTTCACAGACGAAGAAGAGTCTTGAAACAACAGAAATATGGTTCTACAAATAATGCTGAGAATACCATGGGCGGAACACGTGTGCAACTACGAAGTTTCAGATAAAATGAAAACAAAAAGAGACACATATACTTAATATCGGGAACAGAAAATGAAAGTTTCTAGGATATATAATGAGAAGAGAGGGTTTGGAAAATTTGATACTCAAAGGACAGATTGAAGGCAAGAGGAAAACAGCGCGTAACCTACCTAGCGAGCTTGTGTAAATGGATGAAACAATTTTTGGGGAGATAACAAAAAGACAAAATTTATTGAGAGCTACAAAGGATAGAAACTTGGGGAGATACAAGTTACTGAAAGGAGCTGTTTTATGGACGGAAGAATTGTTGAACATGACGATATGTAAGATAGAAAACGATTGATGATCGACTTGAAGATGTTAAGAATGTAGTAGCCAGGAATCTTCCTCGTAGGCGTTTATTAAAAAAGACAAAACAACCCCCCACCCAAAACAGTGACTCTTTGGAAAAAGCTGTCCAATTCGAATTTCTATCTTGCCAATGGAATACGAAGGGAATAAGGATGATTCGTTCCTTTTTACATGTCATGGCGGGTCTTAGCCGTAAAGGTCTGAACTGACAGAACTTCCTCCTTACGAATGGAATACGAAGAGAATAAGGATGATTCGTTCCTTTTTACATGTCATGGCGGGTCTTAGCCGTAAAGGTCTGAACTGACAGAACTTCCTCCTTACGAATGGAATACGAAGAGAATAAGGATGATTCGTTCCTTTTTATGTCATTCGTTCCTTTTTACGAATGGAATACAAGAGAATGGATGATTCGTTCCTTTTTACATGTCATGGCGTGTCTTAGCCGTAAAGGTCTGAATTGACAGAACTTCCTCCTTACGAATGGAATACGAAGAGAATAAGGATGATTCGTTCCTTTTTACATGGCATGGCGGGTCTTAGCCGTAAAGGTGACAGAACTTCCTCCTTACGAATGGAATACGAAGAGAATAAGGATGATTCGTTCCTTTTTACATGTCATGGCGTGTCTTAGCCGTAAAGGTCTGAATTGACAGAACTTCCTCCTTACGAATGGAATACGAAGAGAATAAGATGATTCGTTCCTTTTACATGGCATGGCGGGTCTTAGCCGTAAAGGTCTGAACTGACAGAACTTCCTCCTTACGAATGGAATACGAAGAGAATAAGGATGATTCGTTCCTTTTTACATGTCATGGCGTGTCTTAGCCGTAAAGGTCTGAACTGACAGAACTTCCTCCTTACGAATGGAATACGAAGAGAATAAGGATGATTCGTTCCTTTTTACATGGCATGGCGGGTCTTAGCCGTAAAGGTCTGAACTGACAGAACTTCCTCCTTACGAATGGAATACGAAGAGAATAAGGATGATTCGTTCCTTTTTACATGTCATGGCGTGTCTTAGCCGTAAAGGTCTGAACTGACAGAACTTCCTCCTTACGAATGGAATACGAAGAGAATAAGGATGATTCGTTCCTTTTACATGGCATGGCGGGTTTTAGCCGTAAAGGTCTGAACTGACAGAACTTCCTCCTTACGAATGGAATACGAAGAGAATAAGGATGATTCGTTCCTTTTTTACATGTCATGGCGGGTCTTAGCCGTAAAGGTCTGAACTGACAGAACTTCCTCCTTACGAATGGAATACGAAGAGAATAAGGATGATTCGTTCCTTTTACATGGCATGGCGGGTCTTAGCCGTAAAGGTCTGAATTGACAGAACTTCCTCCCTACGAATGGAATACGAAGAGAATAAGGATGATTCGTTCCTTTTACATGACATGTCAGGTATTAGCCGTAAAGGTCTGAACTTACAGAACTTCTCCTTACGAATGGAATACGAAGAGAATAAGGATGATTCGTTCCTTTTACATGTCATGGCGTGTCTTAGCCGTAAAGGTCTGAACTGACAGAACTTCCTCCTTACGAATGGAATACGAAGAGAATAAGGATGATTCGTTCCTTTTTACATGGCATGGCGGGTCTTAGCCGTAAAGGTCTGAACTGACAGAACTTCCTCCTTACGAATGGAATACGAAGAGAATAAGGATGATTCGTTCCTTTTTACATGTCATGGCGGGTCTTAGCCGTAAAGGTCTGAACTGACAGAACTTCCTCCTTACGAATGGAATACGAAGAGAATAAGGATGATTCGTTCCTTTTTACATGGCATGGCGGGTCTTAGCCGTAAAGGTCTGAATTGACAGAACTTCCTCCTTACGAATGGAATACGAAGAGAATAAGGATGATTCGTTCCTTTTTACATGACATGTCAGGTATTAGCTTTAAAGGTCTGAACTAATTAATAAAAAATCTCGGGCTGTTATTTTCCATGGAAATAGT